CCCATTGAATGGAGAGTATAAGGAAAATGTGAATAAACCGAAGTGTCCTAAGAATGGTCACACGCCTTACCTCAACCAACCAGATGTACGCAAAGCATTGCATGTGAGGGAAGGCACCCAGAGATGGATTGGTTGCGGCGGTTCCTACGATAGATCCAAGGGTTATACCTCTCAGGAGCAGACATCCATTGATTTGATAAATAAGTACAAAATCGGGAGATATGTTGTCTATAACGGCGACTTCGATACGATGTGTAACTTCATATCCGATCAGCGCTTCGTTGATAGGATCGCCGTTTCGACCAAAAGTAAAAAGACTGAGAGTTATAGGTCTGGCCTTTAATGCAAATTCTGTGATATTCTGTAATATTAACTAATTTATAATTATTTATATATCTGGATAGGGAGTGGAGGGTCGATGGAAAGCCTGATGGAGTGATCGGTGGTTTCGTAGAGCACTACGAGAATGGCCTGAGCTTTGTGTTGGCCCGCGGGGCCGGACATATGGTGCCTCAGGACAAGCCAGAGGCCGGCCTACAGATCTTTAAAGATTTGATTGGACTGGCTAAACTTTAAGACAAATATTAAAACTACTGATATATATACCGTGTATCATGTTTAAAAATGACAATCTATCCATTAATTATTAAAAATAAATGTTTAAAAATAAAATCTTTTTTATGATAGTAAGCAAAGTACTGTATTTAATAGTTACGCCTTATTGGCTGGATTTGTGAGATCGCATTCACGTAACATTTCACCCGCTTTATACTCACAACAGTTTTCAATCAATTTCTCGTAGGAATCGGTTGTAATCAATCCGTGGCCCAAATCAAAGTCTATGTTTGACTGATCATCTAGTGTTCCCGTAAGGACTCCATTTCCAATGGCCACACCTTGTAAACAAAAATGTAACAATACTATAAATTGCCTTTAAAATGTTCAAATTATTATTAACCCTTTAAATTTATTGTGGACTTTGCTTTGTATATATTCTTGGCTAACAATGGTATATGAATTCCGGCATAACTTTCTCCCGTTATATAAAATGGGTTTTTCTTAAAATTTGGGTATTTTTCAAAGAAAATCTCCAGGAATGCCAAGTTATCGGCTGCCGTTTCCGTATCTGTATTTTTATGGCTTTTATCGTCTGTATAACTAAAGCCAGTTTTGACCGGTGTTTCCAAATATATGACATTCGCCACAGTATTCCAACTGTTGGGGTTCAACACCAGAGTCTTTCCGTCGGAATTCACTCGAAAGGGTCCGTTCTCTCCCAGGTTTCCAAACAGTGAACTACAACCGGGTCCTCCATTCAGCCATAGGACTACCGGTGCGTTCTCGGAATCCTTTTGACTCTCGACGAACCAATAGAAGTAATGTTTATCTTTAGTAATATCTAAATAACGGGAATATTGTTTAAAATTAATGGGTTTAGAGAGCCCCAGGAGATCTTTAATCTCATCGTTATTAACAGCGATTACATTTAATAAATTGTAAAGTATTATAAATAAACTCAAACAAATACTTTTATTCATTATTATTATTATTATTATGTTTAATATTTGAAATTAACAGTTAAAGTAATTTTTACTTTATATAAAGTATGGAAAGTTAATTTAAAATCAATGACACATACTATGAGAATATAAACATACTGTATTTATAGAATTAAACCTTTACTTTTTAATATTTGAAATTAACAGTTAAAGTAATTTTTACTTTATATTAAGTATGGAAAGTTAATTTAAAATCAATGACACATACTATGAGAATATAAACATATTGTATTTATAGAATTAAACCTTTACTTAATCATAATGAGTGAAATCACTTTTTAAATTATTTATCTTACTTGTTAGTCTGGGATACTTTGCATAATTATATAGAAATCATTGTTTATTTAAACGTGTGTTTGATCAACCAATTGGATTCCACCTGATTAGCCATGTTCAATGTCAATTTTATCAATGTCCTCTCAAATTAAATGATGTATAATCAATATTAAAAATATAATGATTAGTATTAAATATTGTATTATATTGTTAAAAATAATGGAACAACTGTCCCGAATGTACAATACATTTGGGAGTATTTTAAAAGTGTTACTGATTAGATTAAGTGATCAACATTTTCTTAATAATTGACTATACATTTGATTATACTTCACATCAATATTCGGTGAAAGTATTTCAAAATATATACAAATTTGTATAGTAATTAGGAAAATGTGTAATTAAAAATTATGAGATAAATAAAGATTCAATATTTCAAATGAATCGACAATCAGGTGTTGGACCTAAAGGTACAGTACATTAGGTTAAACTTTTATGAGACCCCAAAGCACTGGGAGGTATACAATTAGGTATACAAAAGAGTAAATTAATTAATTGATTCGATTATCGTATGGATTATCGCATTTTTACAGACTTTCAATTCACATGATATACCCTGATTCATATTCATTATTATTTTTTTTGTCAAATGTGTGGTATTTATGAGAATTATTTCTTAGAAATGAAAGTTATTTTGCAATTGACAATTGTATTATTTACAGTATAATGTTAGCTTATTATCTATTTAATTATCAA